CCTAGGGCAGAACCCACCTCTCTGCCTGCCCAAACCTTTGTTTTCTCCCTGCCCTGGGCTGCTCCACAGTCTGGCCAGTGTGGACGGTGTGAAAGGGCACGGCTGTGTGTGGGAATCCTTCCACGCTGGACCTCCCTGGGCGTGGGGTCTGGACTGCTGGAGAAGTGGGTGCTGTCGGTGGGGAAGACAGAAATGACTCCTTATGGTCTAGAGTCAATCCAGTGGCCTCCCTGGAGGAGGTGTCTCCCTCCAAAAGGTGTGAGACTTCCCGCCCAGCCATCTGGAGGGGGTGTTGCTGTAGGCCTGGGGGAGGGTGGCCGCTCTGGATTGGCTCGTTGCAACTTCGTTTATCACAGTTTACAATATCCTCCCCGAGTCTTGGCAGCTGGAATTCCCACAGGTGGGTAAAGGCCTTCTCTGCACCTGGGCCTGGTAATTAAGAGGGAAACACTAGTTTCCCCAGATGACATTATTACCCAAGGTGCTTGGAGAGAGGGGAGGGTGGGAGCCCTGATCTCCAGGCTCCTAGGTTAGAGTGGGCCCCACTCCCAGAGCCCCAGGTCCCAGTTGTTCAAGAGCCTGACTTGTCCTCAAAGGCCCTGACGCCTAGAGATGCTTGAAGGTGGAGCCCGCGGCTTCTAGTCCCAGGGCCGGAGAGGCCGACCCTGTGCCCGGGACTGCATGGACTTGGCTGCTTTACCTCCTCGTGCGTGCTGTGGGCTGACCGGGCCCTCCCTCCCACCATCCTGTCCCCGCCCGCTGCTGCGATGTGGGGAAATCCTGGTGCTCTGCCCCCATCCAGCTGGCTTCCCTGCCCTGGAAGCCCCGGCTGAGCAAGTGGAACGGACCCCTGGATTTGCAGGCACCCTCCGTGGACAGCTTTTCATCTCTGGCCACCCAGCGTTTCCGATGCTCTGGCCGGGGTTGGGGGGATTAGACAGGCCCCAAAGTCTCCCCTACTCACACGCCCCAGGTGTACGCGCCTTCGAACCTCCAGCTGATTAATAATTGCTCCCACCAAACACCCTGGCGCCTCTGCTCCCCGGGGTGGTGTGATCTGATCACTTGTTCAGTCTGTGCCCGGCGCACGGGCAGCTACGGCTCCCCCTGGGCCACGCTCCGAGGAGGCCACCTTCCCGGGGCCCGGCTGCCTGCTGTCCAGGGAGCCGCCCCAGCGCGGGCAGCAGAGGGCCCTGGCTGGTGACCTCCTCCCTGGAGCCCCTGCCCAGAGCCGCGGGAGCAGCCGCCTCTCCCCCGAGATGCCCTCCTGCTTGGGCTCCCTGGTGCCCCCGCCCGCCCTGCCCGGGGGCCAGGCTCCTGTGGCCGCTGGCAGCAGGCGGGCCCGGGGCCTGGGAGCTGGTACCCTCTCTAGCAATAGCAACAGCCTAGAGACAGCCCCTCCCTTCCTGAGCGCTGGGCGAGCACCCCCGCCCCGGGAATGCCTGGGCAAGCATCACCCACCTCACAGGCAGGGCGCGGAGGCCGGGAGAGGGACGCCGCCCCTCCTGCGTCACAGGGCGCGCGCGTGGCAGGGGCAGGGCCTGGCCCTGGTGAGGTTGGCAGCTCTGTGCAGGGTGGTTGTGGGGGCTGTTTGGTGGGGTCCCCTCTGCCTTTTTGGAGTCCGTGTGGGTGGAGAGTGCAGCCCCTTGGCCGGGACTGGCTCAGCCACGCTGCTGCTGCGTCCCGAGCCCCTGCTCCGGCCGGGCGCGGGGAGTGGGCCGGAAGGAGGGGCCGCGCAGCCCCCCGGGCAGACACCCGGGCTGAGGCTGATGGACGCTCGCTGGCCAGTGGCTCAGTGGGCCTTTCTAACCCGCTCTCACCCGCGCTGACTGCGCGGCCCGGGGCTGCTGCGCCTCCCCAGCTCGCTTCTCCGTGGGCGCAGAGCCAGCGTGCCCCCCTCCCCCGGGGACTGAACAGGTGGATGAAAGCGAAGTGCTCAGCACTAGCAGGGCGTGGCGAGTGTGAAACAGTGTCATTATTGTTGCTTTTTCCCCCACCCTGTGGCTATTTTCCCGGCCACCTGATGGATGGGGGGGGGGCACCAGGGGGCGTCCGTGTCCCCCTCACTGCCCACTGCAGCAGGAGCCAAACGAGGCCTCCCTCTGCCCTCCTCCAGGTGTCACTCCTTCAGGCAGTGACTGTCCCCTGGGAAGCGGGTCTCCCCTGCGGGCATCCTGGCCGGGGTCAGGCCCGCTGGGGGTGTCTTCTGTGTGGGGGTTTCCATTCATTGCCAGCTGCGTGACCGCTGCGCTTCCGTTTCCCCCTCTGTGAAAGGGGAGCAAGGGTTGGGCCTCCCTGCTTCCTAGGGCTGTGAGGCTTGGGAGGTCAGTGCTTTGAAAAATGCCTGATGTATAGCCAGTGCTGGATACCTGTCGCTCCGCGGGTGTGCTGGAATAGGGGGCACGGTGAGGAGGGACCTTGGGGTGCCCGGGAACAGCTGTTCTGAGAAGGTTCCTGCCTGGCTTTGGTGCTGCAGGTGGGCTTTGAGACTGTGACATAGAGTGGTGGGGTGTGTGCTCCAGGACCGGTATGGGCAGCGTCCCCAGCTCCCCGGGAGGCAGGGAGGCCTGGTGAGGGGAGCGTTAGTGCGCTGCGGCCGTGGTGCATCTGCCAAGGAGCCAGAGCCCAGATTCCGTTGGCCACTTGCATTCATGCACACAGTCACCCCACAGGCGTCTATTGGGCACCTGCTGCATGCAAGGGGCTGACTAGAGCCGGGGGGTGGGGGGGTGGAGGGGGCAGCTCCCAGGCTGGTTGGTGGGGAGTCACCAGTTAGCCAGTGTCACTTGAGTGACAGCAGCTGGCCCCGCACCTAGGGAAATCTGTGCACTCGCCCCCGGTGCTGAGCCCAGGGAAGGCCGCCCAGGGAAGTGGCGGGGCAGAGGGAACGTGTAGTTTGGTGGCCAGGCAGCAGCTGTCACTAGGGGCAGATCCCATGCGACCCTGTAGGTGAGGCCACTCCTTGAGGCTGGAGTCTGAGGCCAGTGTCTGTGTCAGGCGTGGCTCTGCTTGGCATTTTCTGGGCATCTTGCTGCTGTCAGCTGCAGGGTCACCACTGTGGCCTGGGGATGGTGGGGCAGCCCTCATTGTCCTTGCTGCTGCCCTGCCTGACAGGTACAAAGAGAAGGTACTTGGTGAAAGAGCCATCTTAAGAGATCGACACCTTGCTGTTCCCCCTTTGACAGATGAGGGGCTCAGAGAGAGCTCCAGGCTGGTGTCAGTCCACTGTGTGTGTGTGTGTGTGTGTATGTGTTTGTGTTTGTGTACTGCAGCCCCAAGACGGCAGGGGTTTCTGTCTGCCTGGTTCACTTCTGTATGCCTAGGGCCTAGCACAGTGCCTGGCACACAGTAGGTGTGCTTCTAACCACTGCCACAACCCAGCAAGGATATTGACAGGCGTGGCCCTGTTCTCTCAGGTGCATGTCAGGGGCCTCTGTCCCTGCTGTGTGCTTGGGTATTCTTCGTGCTGAAGCAGGGTCATGGTTTTGCATCCCCCGCAGGGCCCGGCTCAGCCAGGCTCTTGGGGAAGGAAGTCCAGTCCAGATGGGGCTTCCTGATGGGAGGTTTGGGTTCAGCACCGTGGACAGCAGAGGTTGGGGGGCTTCTGCCATTTTGACTGTGTGTGCCTAAAGGGGTGGGAGGGATAGGAGCCGTATGTGGGATGGGCAGGCCAAGGTCTGCCTGTCTAGAGGTCTCCCTGCAGTGCCTTTGCAGCCGTAGGAGTCTCGATTCCTTTTTATTTGTTGACATATATATATATATATTTTTTAAAGAGTTATGCATATGAGAGTTGGGGTACAGGCCAGAGGACTGGGGGGGGCAGGTGAGAGGATTCACCAGAGACAGAGTGGGGGGCAGAACAGGCGGATCTACTGAAATACACTGCTGAGGGGAGCAGCGGGGAGACAGGAGAGGTCTGCTGCGCCATGTGGGTAGCTCCCTGGCCGGGAATCAAACTCGTGCTGCAGAGGCTGTGGACAGCTTCATAGTGCTGAGACTTATCCCCTGGCACCACCGGGGAGGCCCTGTTGTTTTATATTTTTATTGGCGCCAATACCACCCTCCCATTTTAACATTCAAGTAAGACTAGCAGCAGCCAGCCTGCTGCTATCAGTTTTCCCCAGGGTCTGAGGTTTTTATATTTAATAACTCAGTCGATTCTCATAACACTCCTGGGAGGTACAATCATTGACCCCAATTTATTTTATATTTTTTAATTTTTTTATATTTTTAATTTATTTTTTCTAGTCCCCATACAATTGCACCCCCCTTATTTTGGCCCCAATCCCTCCTTCCCCCACCCCCCATAGTGTGTCTCTGGTTTACAGTTGTTTGTTGATCATTGACCCCAATTTAAAGATGAGGCAAGAAAGGCAGCGAGAAATCAAAACACTCACTCAGGGTCACACCCGTCATACGGGGTGTGGGCCCAGGCTCCAGATCCTGTTGTGAGCCACAGTTTCGCACAGGTGGTACCGCCCTGGGTTACTCCCCGCCTCCCGCCTCTGGCTCCTTCCCAGACAGCACCAGGGCGCTGGAGGGGCCCCCGGCCCAGCGCTTAAATACCTTCGGTTTGGTTTTCTGTGTGTGCTTGTCCGGTTGGCATTGCTCCTGGGGCTGCGTGTGCTGGAGGGCCTGGGGGGCCTGGAGGCCTGGGGGGCCTGGAGGGGAAGCGGGCGCTTCTCGTGGGCTCCTCTGGTGTCTCACCTGGCACCCACGGGGCCTTTAGGTCGGATCAGCCTCCGCCCATCTGAGCAAGTCTTTCGCTCGAGGACTTAACATGGGAGTTACGGGTCTGAAGTGGAGCCCGCCCCAGTGCCCCCCCAAAGGCCATGCCCCTGAACAGTGGGGGGCGCCTGCTGAGGGGGTCCCCCCTCCCCCCCGGCGCCGGGCGCGGTCCGCGGGGCCTCTGGGCGGGGCGGGCGGGCCGTGCGCACCTGACCGCTCACACCTGTGTCCCCCGTGTCTTTCAGCCCGGCCGCGCCTCCTCGGTCTCCGCCATGAACGGGCCCACCCTGCAGCCCTCCTCGGCCCCCTGCGCGCCCTGCGGCTCCTCGGCGGCCCCGCGGGGCTGGAGCGAGTTCTGCGAGCTGCACGCGGCGGCCGCGGCCCGGGAGCTGGCGCGCCAGTACTGGCTCTTCGCGCGCGAGCACCCGCAGCACGCGCCGCTGCGCGCCGAGCTGGTGTCGCTGCAGTTCACCGACCTGTTCCAGCGCTACTTCTGCCGCGAGGTGCGCGAGGGCCGCGCGCCCGGGCCGCCCGCGCGCGACTACCGGGAGACGGGCCGCGGGGCGCCGCCCAAGGCCGAGGCGCCGCCCGCCGAGCCGGGCCCCGCGCCCGCGGCGCTCGCGCTGTCCAAGGCCCGCAGCTCGGAGGAGCTGGCCCCGCCGCGGCCGCCCGGGCCCTGCGCGCTGCAGCACTGGCGCCACAGCCTGCGCCACCTCTTCCGCCGCCGCTCGGCCGGGGAGCTGCCCGCCGCCCCGGGCCCCGGCGACGCGGGCGAGGCCCCCGCGCGGCCCGGCCTGGCGCGGAAGCTGCTGCCCTGGAGCCTGGGCCGCGAGGCGCCGCCCGAGGCGCTCAAGGAGGCGGCGCTGCGGTACAGCCTGGCCGACGAGGCCTCCATGGACAGCGGGGCGCGCTGGCAGCGCGGGCGGCTGGCGCTGCGGCGGGCGGGCGGCCCCGACGGCGCGGACCGCGTGCTGGAGCTCTTCGACCCGCCCAAGGTAAGCGGCCGGGGCCGGGGCGGGGGAGGGAGGCTTCCCACGAGCTTTTCCTTTAGATCCTAAATCCCCGGGGCAGAGGTGGTGCGGGCACGAGGTCGCGCCCAGGGGCGGGCACTGGCCCAGCGCGGAGCCCGCCGGGCAGCTTGTGCTCGCCAGGAGACGCGGCGGGCCAGGCGAGGCCGGCCTGAGGGGCTGAGCTGCTGCTTGGGTGGGGCTTTGCCGCAGAACCCTCGGAGGAGGAGTCTTTAAACTCTGTCGCGGCAGAGCCTGCACACACGTGAAGTGGATTATTGCACCTGAAGCTCCAGGGGGCCCCACCCGCCACCCCCGTGTAGTACTGGCCCCCCGTCTACCACAGCCCAACTTCAGTTCCACATGTTCTCTTTCTCTGCTGGTGAATTCCACACGAGTGGAGACTCGCAGAACATGGCCTTTAAAGTCGCGCTGCCTTTCACCAGCCTGACGGCCGCGGTGCTCACAGCCCCAGGGGCCGGGGAGCTGCTGTTTCATTGCGGCTGGTGCTCCGCCGGGCGGCTGTCCCTCGAGCAGCTGTCCCTCTGTCGATGGCTATGTGGGTCGTGGCCACTTTGGGACTTTTGTGAATAATGCTGTTCCGAGACGAGGGCGGAGGCCTCTGGGCGGGCCTGTGCGGCCGCGACTCTCGCAAGTGAGCGGCGGCCGGGGCAGCGCTTGCCCTCACGCAAGGGCTCGTTTCACTGCGTGACCATCTTCCAAAGCGCTGCAGGGTTTTGCGTCCCCCCAGCGGTGAGGCAAGTCCCTTTCACTTCAGCCTTCCTAGCGCGTGTGCTGGTGTCTCAGGGTGGCTTTACCTGCGATTCCCGGGTGAATCATGGTCGATGCTCATTGGCCATTAGCACTTACACTTGCGCGAAGTACTAGTTATTTATTTTTTTTTAAGAGTTATTCATTTATTTATACAAGCACTGGGTACAGTCAGAAGCGCGGGAGGGTGAGAGAATTCACCAGAGCCAGAGCAGGGAACAGAACAGGCAGAAGGAGCGAAGTACACTGCTGAGGGGAGCAGCGGGCAGCAGGAGAGGTCTGTGCACCATGTGGGACCCTTGCCGGCGGCTGGGGATCGAACCGGCGCTGCAGAGGCTGGGCAGCTTCGCAGCCCGGCGCTCAACCACTGCGCCACCAGGGGAGGCCCCAGTACAAGTTATTTTTATTAAACCGTCCTTCTGTCTTTGTCTTAGTCATCTGTGGAGATTTTATATATTCTGGGTACGCTTTGTATTGGGGGTGTCGGCTGCGGGGCTGACTTTTCACTCTTTTAATGGAGCCTTTCCATGAGCAGAGGCGCTGGAGTCTGGTGACGTCGTCAGTCACTTGCGTTCTGGTCGGGTTCGGGCTTCTCTGCCTGTGTCTAGTCTGCCCGAGAGCCTGACGCCCTTGCTTGTCTCCTAGGGGCGCTCATGTTTGGGGCGTCTCATGTGGACCCTGACCCGTCTCGCGTGGGTCTCCGTGGAGCACGAGGAAGGGCGCCCGCTCTCCCGGTGTCCCGGCCGCGCGTCCCCTCCTGGGGCAGTGCTGCTTCCCCCGGTCCGCAGGGTGCATCTGGGCTCCCCAGTCTGTCCTGTCGCCCGAGCGCCCGCCCCCCGCCCCCACCGCACCGCCTTCCTCGCCCAAACAGTGCGCGGGAAATAGGTGTCTGGAGGCTGCGGCCTGAGTTCTTTATTCCAGATCAAACTCGCGCCTGCCGGGCCGCGGGGACAGCGCGGGCAAAGGCCCGATAGAGAAACTTCTGGCGAGTTTTAAAAAAAGAGGCCAGCGTGGCGGAGCACGGCCGGGGGGGGGGGGGGCTGGGGACATGCGCGGGAAGAGGCTTCCGTGGGGGCGTCACGGCGGCAGCTGTCGGGGCGATGCCAGTGTGGAGAGAAACTTTCCTCTCCCTGCTTTGAAAGCGCCGGGAGGCGAAGCCGCCACGAGGGGTGAAGGAGGCGTCCAGCAGCTGCGTGGGAGGGGCCCAGAAAACGTCCCTGTGAACAGCTGCTCGACACCAGCCGTGACGCCGGGAGTCAGGAAGCCGAGTGGATCAGGGGTTCCCTCCCGGGCCTCCCGGCCTCTGCGCCGGCTCCAGCCTCTGCAGTGGGGTGACTGCTCGGGACTGGGCTGAGTTCATCTGAGGTGCCCCGCGGGCTCCCGGGGTGGTGAGCACCGGTCTGGTCCCCAGGCTGGCGAGAGCGGTTCTGGCCCCAGGCTGCCGGGACTCCCCCTCTGCCCCGGCTGCCTGGGGCGCCGTCATAGATGTGGTGGTTGCTGTGTGACCCGGGGTGTTGCCCACAAAGCGAGGAGCCCCGCGGGGCCTCCCCATGAAGTGTCTGGCCTGACAAAGCCACCCTCCGCTCCAGCGCCTGCAGCAGCTTCCCGTGGGGTTCCCAACAGCCTCTGGGCTGAGGAGTCAGGAGTGCGCCTGCCAGGGGGCAGCCTTGACCTCTGACCCCTGACCTCTGAATTGCCTCCAGAAGCAGCTTTATTTTTTAAAAGAATTCCAGCAATTTCACTTTTTAAAAATGATTTCTTTATGCCTAGAAGAGCTGAGGTGCAGGCTAGAGGTGGCGGAGGGTGAGAGGACTCACCAGAGACAGAGCGGGGAGCAGAAGAGGCGGGTCCACTGAAACACACTGCTGAGGGGAGCAGCGGGGAGACAGCTTTAAACAGAAGCAAAAGGAAGGGTGGGCCGAAGGTCGCCGCTGAAGACCTGGGCTGCGGACTGTGTCCCTGCAGGGGCCCAGGAGCAGCCTGGAGAAACCCTTGCTCTGCCAGTGGGCAGCTGCCTGGGGCTCATGGGTCAGCCTTGCCCGGAGCTGGTTCCAGCTTCGCCTCTGACCAACTTCGTGGCCCGGGGCTGGTTACCGCCCCACTCAGAACCCCGGTCTACTCACCTGTAAAGCGGGGGTGACGCCAGGGCCCGCCTGAAGGGTCGCTGCGAGGCTGCCATGAGGGGGGCGTGTGTGTGTGAGGCGAGGCCCCGGGGCAGACGGCCGCACTGGTGGGTCAGAGGAGACATCCGAGGCTATTTCACAGGCCTCAAGGTGGGCAGAGGAGGCATGGCTTTCTCCTGCGTCAGCAAGCACCCCGGTGTGGGCGGGAGGGGCGGCCTCACCTTCAGTGCTGCCATTCTTAGGCGGAGGTTGGGGCTTGTCATCAGAGGCCCTCGGGGACATCTGAGATGAAAGACTGTGCCCGTCCCGAAAGATCTGGGTGAAGAAGTCCCAGGCTGCAGAAATGGCAAGAGCAAAGGCCCTGGGGTAGGCATGAACCAGGAGACTTGTCAGAACAGCCAGGCGGCCGGGGCTGGAGTGAAGGGAGCAAGGGCAGATGAGGTGAGAGGTGGGGAGGCTGGCCCCGGAGGGCTTTGCGGACCACTGTGAGGACTTCAGGCTTTCCACGAAGAGCAGGGGCGCATTTGGGAGATTGAGGCCCCACGGGGCTGAGACACGCACCAGGATCACCCGGCAGTGGGAGTGGCTGGAGGAGCCCTGTGGGCCCCCTGGGGTCCTCGGCATCAGCCCGGCTGTGGGGCAGCGTGGCCGGATTCTCTTCCCAGGAGACGCCGGGGTGGCCCTGTCCGCCTGCCTGGCACGGACGATGCGCCAGGTGTTACCCGAGACACTCGACTTTGAAGCTTTTCCACGAGGTCAGGCTCACTGGCCCATTTGACAGAGGAGGAAACCGAGGCTGGCGGAAGCAGAGGGACTCAGGGTTGTGCAGCTGAGGTGTGAACCCCGATCCCAAGGCGGCTCCGCTCGCGAGCCGCGGCCGCAGTGTCGGCGGCTCCCCTGAGCCAGAGGGCGCGCGTGCCGGACAGCCTGGGGTGCGCCGCCCCGCTCAGCAGTTAAGAGGAAAGCCGGGGGGGGGGGGGTGGCTGCCAGTATTTTGGCTGATGTATTGGAGAGTTTTTTGCAAAAGAATCCAGATTCCTGATTTCTCTTACAAAATCAGCGGGCCTGGCAGCGCCGGGCCTGCTTCCCTGGCGCGGATCCAGCCTGGCCTCTGCCCGGGTCCTGCCGAGGGCGAGCTGGGGGGTGCGGGGGCGCAGGGCAGGGGGCATCCACAGAAGCAGCCACCTGGCCAGGGCTTTCCTGAGATCTGGGGGGTCCCTTTCCAAAGGGTGCCTCGCCAGGCGGACCGTGGCCTGTGACCAGCCCTTTGCTCTCTGGGGTGTCATTTTCCCTGCGGGCCCAAGCCTGGTTGACGGGGATGGTCTCCGAGCCCTGCCAGCCCTGCTGGGTCTGGGGCCGCCTCGGTGTCCCGAGTCTGCTTAGCGAGGGTGGGGACGGCTTCGCCCCGGGAAAGGCGCCGCTCCCGCCGGCGCGTCCGTGCCCTGGTGCTCGCTGGGCACCTCACCCCCGCGCCTTCCCTTGGTCCTCACGGCAGTCTGGTGAGGGAGCGGCTGTGATTACCCCCATTTCACAGGTGGGGGGCTGAGGCCAAGCCAGGGTGGGTGACTCGCCCGAGGTCGAGCGGCTCCTGGGGGGCCGAGGAGGGACTGGAGCCCCAGCAGGCGGCAGGGCCTGGTGCCTCGTGAGGCCTTGGAAGGACTGTGACTGGGGTGCTGGGGTTCAAGCAGCAGCTCTTTCTGGGGGGAGCTGTGTTTAGTTCTCACACCAGGAAAGCCTCCCTTGTCTGGGGGCACCATCTTTCGGGGGGACATCCAGAAGCTAAGACGGGGGAGCCCGCACACCTGCCTTAGCCTCTGCTGCCGGCCAGCGCGGGGGTGGAGGGGGCGGCAGGGGCCCCCCGGGGGGAAAGCGTCTGGGGGAGTGGCGGGTCGCAGGGTGTGCGGAGGTTGTGCCTGGAGCCCCTCCCGCCGCGCTTGCCCAAGACGGGGTGGTCGCCGCCTGCGGGGGGGGGGGGGGGGGCACCGCTGCGGCCTGGGGGGGGGTCGGGGCTGGGCCTGCGGGAGGGGCAGGCCCCGGGCTCCCGGCGGGAGCGGCAGGTGGTTCGCGCCCTGGTCCCCGGGGCACTGCTGGGGG